TAACCACGAAGGTCGAGGTAGGAAGCCAGTGCGTTGATCCAGGCTAGGGAAGATGGTTGCTTGGTTCAGGGTGGTAGCTTGGAGATAGCTGGACATGATTTGTAATCCAAATAAAATTTTTGAAAGTAGAAGTAACAGAACTTGTGGGTCAAATATGAAAAGAATTGAAGATGACATAATGGTTTCATTCTGATCGCTGAAAGGATAAAAGGACTGGTTTGGCAGGAATAATAGTAACTTAGTTTTGAATATGTGAAGTTAGAGATCTAAATGGAGATTTCAAATACATGAAGACATACGGCCAATCTGGAAATGATAACTACCACCATTTCACCCATTTTGAACAATTCTTTTGTCCCAAGCACTTTTACCAAGGGCTTTGTTAGTATTAACTTAATCTCCTAATGAAGTTTGTGCTCTTAGTCCCATTTTACAGGTGAGAAAATAGAGAAGCAGATTAATTAAGTAATTTGACCCCAGCTTCAGGTCGGAGTCCATCCTGTGAGCCTGGCAATCTCGATTTAGGGCCCTTTAAGTTTCATAGGAAAGGAGAAGAGGCAGATTTTGATCTTCCTTTCGCTTTATTCTTTGTTGGTTGGATGCAATTATAAAGCATAGTGATGGCAGCAACCCACTGCTGTCTGGCTCAGGCATCAAAGGTCTGGCCCCTGGGAGAAGAGCCAGATCCAGGCTCAATAAAGATACTTTTTCTCTCATTTCAACTAAGCTTATGGCCTAAGGACATTACTAAGAACCTAAAGAAAATAACTCATCCAAGATTTTGAAGCTATCAAGAAAGCGTATTAGACCAAAGGAGGACAGTTTATGAGCTATAGGAACTTTGCCTGTCCCCATCACATTATTCCTAGTTTCTCTTTGAAGAAGAACAAGTATGAAGAGCCAATGTGAAAATATGAATAATTAGAATAACTTCCTTTTTTGACTAATCAGTCTTTTTTTGATATGTGGTTTTAATGAGTTTCAGTCACTATTAAATATATACAAAAATATTTAAAATGTATATTAAATTATAAAGAACAACACCTAGTTTTTAGGATATTGTCATCACACAGAAGTCCCCCTGGATTGCATTCCTGTCTTCATCATACCCTTTTCCCTCTCCCCTGTATCACCACCTTCCTGAGCTTCATGATAACAACTACATTGCTTTTTTTTTTTTTTTTTTTGACAGCTTACTACCTACATGTGCATCAAGAATGATATAACTTAATTTAGGCTGGTGTTGAACTTTGAATAAATGGAATAATGCTGTAGTTATTATTTTGTGATTTGCTCCTTTAACACATTATTTGTGATCTTTGCCCATGTCATTACCTGGTGTTGTAATTCCTTTAGTTTTTATTGCTCTGTATCCTGCTACATTAATAAATTAATCATACACCTTGATTAATTTATCCATGTTGTTCTTTTATTGATGGACATTTGGGTTGATTCCACTTACTGACAGTTAAGAATATGCTTTAATGAAAATTTTTGTTTTGTTTCATTTTTCCCTGAGTGTTTTAACCTATATCCAATTGAGCATGTGCAAGTGTTTTTTCATATGAAAAAGTAGGAGGGGAATTGCTGCATCGTGGGATGTATTCATCATCAAGTTCATCAGATAATACCAAATCATTTTCAAAAGCAGTTCCTGTTCTCCTACTGACTATATCTGTGGTTCCATTTCCCTGCCTAGGTTTGGGACTGTGATGCTTCTTTTGTCAGAAGGAGGAAGAAAGGAAGGAGAAAGAATACATTTTCATGGATTTCTTTTCAGTTACTATGCTTGAGATACCTTGGGATTTCACATTTGACAAGTAAAATCTTTTACAAGTTCTGGGAAATTCTCAGCCAGCATTTTTTCAATTTTTGCCCCTCTCCTATTTTCTTTCTTTTAGGAGCTCAGATTAGATATCAATGAGAGAAGGTCAGTCTTCCCTCCATGTTTTTATTCCTCTCTCATATTTTCATTATTTTTTTTTATTATTCTTTCTTTTTCTCTCTCATATTTTCATCCTTGGTCTTTGTTGTCCATTCAGTTTTGTGATTATGGTAGCATAGTTTTTCTTCTCCGGAGATTCATTTTTTGAATTCTCCATGTTCCTTTTTCATATTCTTAATTTCTTATTTCCTGAAACTTCTTAAACATAGTTATATTTTCTGCTTAATAATTCTAGTGTCTGAATTATTTTCGAGTCTGATTCTGATTCTATCTATGCCCTGCTTCCAATACCTGGCTTGTCCCTTTTCATGGCAACTTTATTTCTTATGTATTTAGTGATTTATTATTTATATTTACTAGGTGCACATTACTTAGGGACATTCTGCCTGAGAAGCCTGGTTTAAAGATATCTTCCTCCAGAAAGGACTAATATATGCTTTTCTTGAGAAACTAAGGCCACTATTAACTGGAAATATTTCAGCTAAAGTCTCAGACTGGAGGATTTTCAGGCCACAAAAGCAGTTCTAAATGCAAAATCTTTGTGGGACAGGTGATAATATTTTTTTCTCTCTACCCTGGACCCAAACCTAAGGCAGATCATTTTTTTTTTTTTTTGCTATCTCCAGCAGGAGAGTACAAGTTATTCCTAATTTATTCATTCAGTCTATTGGGAATTCTCATTTATGCATCACATCATCTGTTAGATTTCTATCTTGTATTGGCCCTGGGTTTTTTCTCCTTCACCTTCTTCACATGAGACTTAAAATACTCAGATCTGGGGCTGGGGTTGTGACTTAGTGGTAGAGTGCTTGCCTGGCACATGTGAAGCACTGGGTTCAATTCTCAGCACCACATTAAAAAAATAAAGTATTGTGTCCATCTATAATTAAAAAATATTTTAAAAATACTCAGACTCAAGGGTCTCTGGTTTATTCACAATCTTCAGAGTGCATGTGAAAATCAGGTTGTATGCTCTGCTTATGTTTCTGTTTCCACCTTTCACTTAGCCTTTGTTAATTCTTTGCTCTCTTGCTAGCCCTGTGATATGTTTTAAATAATATTATTGCATTTTGCCTAATATTTAAATTTTTCCCTTGGGTATAGGTCATAGGTTTTGGGGGGTTTGTTTGTTTGGTTGGTTTTGGTTTTTTGGTACTGGGGGTTTTTTGGTACTAATTGTTGTTTTGGTTTTCTGGCTAGGAGAAGTGACTGCATCTCTTGGAAAGTTTCTTAACCTCTGAATTTTTTTTCCCTCTGTATGAAATAAGACTATTTCCTTCTTTTCAGAATTGATAGATGAAGCTACCAGGAGCACTGTACCACTAAGTTACACTTCCAGTCCTTTTTTATTTTTATCTTGAGACAGAGTCTTGCTAAATTGCAGAGTTTGGCCTCAATCTTATAATCTTCCTGCCTCAGCCTCCAGAGTTTGCTGTGATTAAGACATCTACCACTACCTAGTAATATAGACTATTATGGAATGATTTATAGTGCTTCTACAAACATGACCAACAAATATTGAGTGCCTGGTATTATTCTAGAAATGGGAGTATAGAAGTAAATAAACATCCCAGTTTCCTAAGGAGCTTGAGTTCAAGTATGGAAGGCATGTTGGTCAGTAATGACTCTAAGGGAAATAAAGCAGAGAAAGGGACCTTGCATCTTTGGAGACAACAGCTCAAGAATTTGAAAAGGAGGTGACGTTTTTTAAAGAAGATGTGAGCTATGAATCCTCCAGAGAAAAGATATGAATGTTTTATAAATGCCTAAGAAAATAATGAATGCAAATTCTTCCTTATGTTATACTATGTCAGAAATATTGCTGTTTGTTCTTCTTTTTTTTCTGGTAAATCATTATTTTTTCTTTGTGTTTCTTAATCTAATTGTTGTTTTGGTTTTCTGGCTAGGAGAAGTGACTGCATCTCTTGGAGAGTTTCTTAACCTCTGAATTTTTTTTTCCATCTGTATGAAATAAGACTATTTCCTGCTTCTCAGAATTGAGAGATGAAGCTACCTAAAATTTGTGAAAGGTCTGACCTTTGAATGGCTACTCAGTAAATGGTAGTTTCCTTCATTTTTGTTCCTTTCTGGTTCACATTCTTTTCAGCACTCTATGGTAAATTTGTAGTGATTATTCTTAAGCAGCACCATGGAGAAAGCATGTGGTAGGTAGTTAACTGAGGACAATTAAGAGAATTAGAAAGTTTGATATAAAGAGAAAGAAAACACACAAAACAGTTTTTGAAGTGGTTTTGAAAGGCTGACTTGGTATTCTGGGATAAGGAGATAAAGCCTAGTTCTATGCATTTTTCCCTTAAAGATATTTTTTGCTGTATCACAGCAGGCCCAGTAAATCTCCATTTTAATATTTAACAGTCTGCAGAGTCTTCAGTTATTGTCAAACTCAAACCAAGCATAGGCATATCACATACATGTACAAATATGGTTTCATATCTATTCTTTTTTAAAATTAATTTTTGTTTTTTAGTTGTTGATAGATCTTTATTTTATTTATTTATACACGGTGCTGAGATTCAAACCCAGTGCCTCACACATGCCAGGCAAGTGAACTACCACTGAGCCCCAGCCCCAGCCCCAGCCCCTCATATCTACTCTTATCCATTAACCCAAACTTGCTCTAATTTTCCAATGTCAATTGGTGAGTTTTTTTGAGATTATTGGTGTGCCACTAAAAATAAAGGAAATGTAAGGAAATGGTGAAACTATAAGACTTGTGTATATTGGGCTTAGATGAAGCTGAAATCTAAATTTAGAAATAAAATTAGATCCTAGAGTAACTCATACTCCTATGAGATTTTCTTTCATTCAAGTATCCGGAGACCTGAGTTTTAGTGCTGATTTTGATAGTGTCTCTTCATGGAGTCAAAGTCAGTTTTCCCTATCTGTATCATGAGAAATTCTTCCTGTATTTCTTACCTTGTATGGCTATTGAGATTTCAAAGGATCTAAGTGACATCAAAGCAAGACAAGCACTAATGATAAACAAAGGACAGCTATTCATATTGTATCCTCTTGGCTTTTGGTCTGTTTTCAGCCCTCCCAGTGACCATGCCCTGCTGGACATGTCCTTCTTTTGACTCCTTGAGGAGATGCCCTCTGACCTCCGAGAGCAGCTGGACAACCCACTCTGAAGACACTAGCAGTCCTAGCATTGGCCCTTCGCACACAGACCTGCAACTTGTCAATGCTGAGGAGCAGACAAGTGGCAGAGCTTCTGGGGCTGACTCAACTGGTAAGCTAGAGTTCCAATCACTTTGCAAATCATTTAACATTCCCAGGTCCTCTTTAAGGGCCTCTTTAATCTCTACAACCAGCCTTGTTTGCAGAATGAGTTCAGGGGTAGTCATCTAGTCAAAAAGCTAGCATCCAGAGTGGTTTGAAATTACACTAGGAAAATGTATAAACAGATTGACTGATTGGTTGGCTGATTATTCATTTTGGGAAACCATTTGACAGCATATCTTAATGTGTTATTTTCTTTCGGCTTGGTATAAGCACCATTTCTGTGGATTTATTTTCTCCTTGGATTACTAAAGTGTGTGATATGCACAGGGCTGAATCTTTCATCCTACCACCCACGCGTCTTGCTTCTTCAGCAGCAGGGAGGTGAATTTAAGTGAAGAGAAATGTTAAGCAGAATGAAGATCAGGACTCAGCCACTGTATTTAAGGATACACATCATTTTGCAGTTAAATGCTTATTCTGTTGTCTTATAATCGGGCTCTATGTTGGTCTGTGATGTCCCATGGGCTCATTTATTAAACTTTCCAGTAGGCATAAGATAAAATGCTGATTGTATTTGCATGTAGAATATGGACCTGCCAACAAGCATTGCATTATGGGTGAGACTTGGAATGGTATTGGAAAGATGTGTGTTCTTTGTTCTTGGTTATTTGCCCCAAAGGATTGTTTTCCTCTGAAAGTGATAAAGAGTTACTGCTAGTTTCTGTGTTGAAGAAGTTATACTTATGTCAACAAAATTTGTTTTTCCTTTTCAAAAATATTGTTTAGGAGTAGTTCTTCAGATCATTTTTTTAAATTTGCATAGCATTTGCCCTCATGCTGTGTACTCTTGGGTTCTAAAAATATTAAAAATGATCCTTCTTGTAGACTAAAGGGTTCAGACAGGATTTTTTTTTGGTATTTGATAAAATTACAGAGTATCCTAGTTCATCACAGGCTGTCTTCACAAACACAGTTCTTCACAGCATTTTGTCTTCATGGATACTTCTTCAATTCTTGTAAATCTGAAACATGATTTATAAGGATTATAAGCCCACAACCTCCTTTCTACTGTGGGGACCAGCTACTGGACTGGAAGGCCCTGGTACTGACTAAGACTGTTAGGAAGATGGGCTTAAGCATACATCTTTATTCTTGTTGCTCTTGTTACCCTCAGCCTCCTTTCCAAGGCTTCCTGGGGAGGAAGTATACATATTGGTTTAGAGTGTCTGATTCCAGAGTCAGACTCGGGTTTAAGTCCTGGTTCTGCAATCTACCAGCTGTGTGGCCTGGGGCAACTTCCTTACTCACCCCCCTACCCCTCACCCGCCGTCGTACTAGGCTGCATCCCTAGGTACAACCCCAGCCCAAGATCCTTACTATTTTTATGACTCAGTTTCCTCCTCTGAAAAATGGAGATAATAATAGTATGTACCTTACTGGAGTTGTTCTCAGCTCCAGTAAGACAATTTAATGCCTGACACAGAATTATAATGATGTCACTTCTTCCCTTTTCTGCTGCAGGGTTCTTATTGCTTTGGAAAAATGCAAAATGGACCCCTCACTGAGGAAAAAGTGAGAACATCTAAGTTCAGACTCCTTTTTTCATTGGCCTCTATACTTTCTCATTAGATGAAGTTTGCTTTAACTCTTGGAGGTTTAAGTGATAAAAATCAATGTCCTAGCCTCAATCTGATGACCATCTCCTTTTCCTCCTCCTTCTCATCATCATCAAACCCAGGATATGGGTTCATTTAACCACTGAGCTATAACCCAAACCTTGAACTGGACATTATTAATCTGTCTCCAAAGTTTTAAATTATTTTTAGCAACTCCCTTTTCTAAAGTCATCTTAAGTGTAACAGTTCACATCAAGAAAACCTCTTGCCTGGTCCCTGTTATTTTGGTCAGGGTCCTGGCAGGAAGCATATGGTGCCCTCAAAAGGGTTATTTGGAGAGGATTTAATGAAGAGAATGCTTACAGAGGAAGAAGAGTTGGAATCAACAAAGAGCCAACCTGGCCTCTCCCTGGCTACACAGTGTGTAAGGATAATGGCTAGGCAGATGCTTTGTGCATCATCTCTGTGTAGAAAGGCATTATGATGCCCCAGGTGAGCCTGTTTCCCTTGGCCTCTGTTGGTTGGTAGTGGGCTTCAGTGAACTGAGGTGCACCTTCTTCTCTGTCATCTGTGCAAGAGTTCTGCTGGGATTTGGCAGCTCTATAGGACATTCTGATGCCCAGCATGGTTGTGGAGGGAAAGACTCTGTGATCAGCCTACACTTTGTTCTCATTTTCTCACCAAGGGTATAATTAGAGGAGGAAGGTAAACAAATCCCCTCACTTTGGTTAGAGTGTGGTATGGAGCTGAAGAGTGGTGTGGATGTTTGCTCTGGGGTTCTGCTCCACAGGACAAACAAATGGCAGGAAAATAGGAATGGGTAAGATTCCCCAAAACACTCTCTTCTCTCTCACCCATCTCTGCAGTTCCCCTTGGCCTAGATGAGATAGGTACAACCCTGTCATCTTCATAAGTCACAGTAGCTATGTAATGCCACTGGGTTTACATGGGTTTATAAACAGTAAGAGGATCAAGGAAGTAAAAACAACCTCTGTCTTTGAAGTCCATTCGAACCAGGGAAGAAAAAAAACATATAAATATTTGCAATAGCACAAACTGCTGTTGAGTGCTAGGCTTTGGTTTGAGTTTTCTTTTACATATAAGAAAAGTGTAGATTTAAGTGTGGGATTAGATTGTGCAGATATATGCAAACTGAGGAGTGTCAAGACTGAATGAAGCACATAGCAGATGTTTTAATGATTGTTGAATGGATCCTTGAATGAACAGTAAGAGATTGCAGGTAGAAAGAGTCATCTGAATCCCAGACTTTTGTATCTCATTCAAATTTAAGAGTCTAGTATTCTCCAAAGTATATCCCATGAAGAGGCCCAAGAAAAACCAGGATGTTGGGGGGGGCCTATGTGTTAGGTCTTGCTGTGCTCCCTATGTTGGAGATAACATACTAATGTTATTAGTATTATTAGGGATTTTGAAAAAGTCCTGAAATGATTTTCATGAATTATGTATATAATTTACTTATGTATGTGTGTGTCTATATAGTTATATATTGTATATACTTGTGTGTATGTGTGTGTGTATTTAGTTTACTACTTGGTCAGATCTCAAAGTACAGAAACTCAAACACATAAATTGGTAAATTATACTTGGAATTATATGCCTTTGCTAAAGTGTTGGAAAACCAGAAAACTCGGGGGAAAAAAAATTTAAAGAGCATACCTGGGCTACTTAGCTTTATAAAGTTAGCTCCCACTTTGACCCATGCTCTGCTGAACCTCTCGGCCTCTTAATTTTTTTTTTTTAATTGTAGATCCCACAAACCTAAGACTACATTTTGCCAAACTTACTTTGTATGTAAAACCTCATGGACTTTAAAACAAATTTAGACCAGATGTTCTTGTTTCATTTTCATAGCTGATTGTGGAATTCTGCCAGAGCAGTAGGTTATCCCTAGAGATTTCAGACTCATGTTTTCCTCAGATATAAGCATTTATATCAGGTAGGGAGGTGTGGACTAAAACCCCTAGGTTTTGTGATAATGACTTGTTAGCTGCTCAGGAAATTTCTCTTTTCATTATTTGTTCACCCACCCTGAGGCAGGGCTGCCTGTATCTTTACAGCATGATCCTCTGTTGCCTGCTTTGTTCTAATCCTGGCAGAGCTTGAACTAGAATCAGCGGCCCAGATTCACAGGTAAATAGTGCTTATCATATTCATGATGGAATTACAGGGAACTTCTGTTGGCACATCTGCATTTTCTGATTTTTTTTTTAACTCTGAACATACTTTTCTTGGAAGAAAAGACAAATCAATAGTTTTTTAAAAAATTCTTCCCTCTAGCTGCAAATTTCTGAAATACTCATATTCTTTTTGAACAATATGGGAGAGCAGCATAATACATTTTTTAAAACAAAGTAGTAGATCTTTCATGAACAAATACAAATTTTGGCCTCATTTCTTTTCCTGTATATTCTTGTGTCCATTAGTTGTGCATTTTGGATTTTAATCAGGAATAAAAAACAAAAACATTCTAATGGTTGCTTTCTTTGAAAGTTTCTCCATAGAGGTTTGGAAGTTCCTCAGAATACAAATGTTTACTGAGTTCCTACCATATAATAGTCACTGAAAATGAGAAGAAAAGTAAGTTATGTGGTATTTTCCTATGAAGAACTGATTGCCAGTAAACAGATTATTTGCCATTAAAAGGATTTCTATATATAATTTTTTAAATTATGTCTAATAATACTATATCTATGTGCCAGGAACGTACTAAACACTTTATACATATATTATCTCAACCTTCACAATCTTGAAAAATTACTTTTCATTTTATGGATGCAGAAACAACAGCAAAGTCATAGCTAGAAAAAGGTAGAGTTGGGATTCAGTCAAAGTCTCCCTCAGCTCACCCTGCCCTGTGCCTGGTGTGCTGTGGACAGCTGGTATCTTCAGATACAGGGAGTTGTGGGAAGGAATCATTGCAGAGCCTTTCACAGGCCTGGTGCTGCTTCCTTGGCACTTCCCAGGAGCTACATGCAAACTTCCCTTTGTCCTTCCCTGAACCATGAAGGAACCATGTCCATTTTATATCCCCAGCACACTGCCTAGCAGAGTGAAATGACACAGTAGATCTTTGTGGGATAAATCAATTGTTCTGATATAGGGCTAGAGAGCCTTCATTCCCAAACCTGTCCTCCAAGTACGTAAACTTAAGTGTGTTTGCTCATTGAAAAGTAATTTTATGACTAGAAGAATGAAAAGAGAACAAGTAGGGATTAGTATGTTTTCAAGTATTAGACTTTTATCCAGGAATTCCCATTCATTTTGTTTTTCCTGATCTCAGTTGGACTTTAAGTTTTGTTTTGTTTTGCCTTAAAGATCAGTGTATGTGGATATGTATGGTGTGCAGTTGAAGGACTGCTGCCTAAGTTTG